TTTTGTCACGTGTGTGAGTGCGTGAATAAATCATGTTAATGAGGTCGACCAGAGTTTATTTTCAGTCTGTTTTTTATGTATCGCCATTTGGATATGTTTATGTATTCACAATAGTTTGTAAACATTTCACATCAGTAATAAAAGGTTTATTTGTTTCATAACCCTGTCTGCTATTCTTCAGTAATTACGATGCGATGTATCAATACGTGCGTGAACAAAATTATGCTAATGAGGTCATCGCCATCTTGGATTACAAGCGGTAGTTTTTCCCGGCCGTTTCGACTTGTATGCACTGATCACGGTTACTAAAAAAGTAACCATGCATTGATTACAATACTTACCATACTTTGTAGTCAATTTCAGTGAGTAATACAACTTCATTCGCTGACATAAAACAAGTTTTATTCTTAAAATTCGACCCCGTGTCTTAGTGTTTTCACAGTTCTTGACCGAATGCTCACGTTTATTGAAACCTCACATAAATCAAGAAATAAGTACGTGTACAAAGTGTACGAAAGCATTCCTTCATTTGACCTTATCATACCATCACAAAAACAACTTTTTAAAATCTTTTTTGGGGTGGTCCTCGGGTAAGCGCCCACCCACATTTTTTCCTGATTTTGTATGTTCAGGCCCCTGGGCACGTGCCCGGGGTAATACGGTAGATGTTTGCACCCAAGCACAGAAGTTTATCTGTTCTCTATGTGTAAAGCTATAAACACAAATATAAGGCCAGCAATATCATTAATAAACGCCAAGTAGATGATGAATGTTACAAAATATTTCCATAAATGATCACAGGTAACAAATCGAGCCAAACGCTTGCGGGTGTCACCATCTCGAACAAACACAGAAGTCATCCTAGTCATCGTTCTTATTCTAAACTGTATATCGAATTGACATGTTGTAAAATCTGATGAATTAGTATATATTTTAACATGTTTATTATAACCCATACTTTGTTATTCTGAAATGAACTAGCATCTATTTTAACATGAGATTTAACCATGCACTCGGTTAATCTCATATGAACTAGTATCTACTTTATCATGTTTATTTTAATCACTTTATTAAACTGATGATCTAATATCTATTTCAACATGTTTATTTTAACTGTGTACTTTATTAATCTGATATGACCTAGTATCTAATTTAACATGTTTATTTTAACCCTGTACCTTGTTAATCTGACATAACCTAGAATCCATTTTAACATGTTTGGTTTACCTATAAAATTTGCTAATCTTATATAGTGATTTTTTTAAACAAGGGAAAAGGGGCGCAGCACCCTCATGCCATGGCCAGGTGCCCCCTTACCAGGGGAGCGGATTCTCTGGCAACCATAAAATTCTCATTAACCAGGGATCACATGTGGCAGCAGTCTTCAACTGTGACCTGCCTTGATCGTAATTTTAGCCCCAAGGAAGCCATAGAATACTCCATTTTAACTTAGAATTATCAAAAACTCCACACCCTGGTAGGGATCGAGAACCCTATCTCTCCCACCTGGTGGCACAGCTGAATTGCAGTGCTCCCTCTTGCAGTTTTTTTTTCCATGGGAACCCCTGATATGACTTAGTATCCATTAAATCATGTTTATTTCAATCATAAATATTATTAATCTGACATGACCTAGTACCTATTTTAACATGATTCATTTACCTATTAATTTTGTTAAGCTGATACGACCTACATGTTGGCTTACCCCCTAAACAATGTAAATTAATCTGATACGACCTAGTATAGTTGAGCACATTCATTAAATGGAATGAATCAAATAAAACGCTGTAAATAATTAAGCTATTGGAAGATGGGAAATATGTTGATAGTATGTAGAAAACTCAATGCTATAAAGATCACAATAGAACAAATACTAAACCATAATAATGTCATCACAAGCAATTACTCGCTAGAAAAACATGCAAGTACAAACCTATTAAAGGCATACAATACTGGTATTCTGTTCTCTAACAATACAGCTAACAATACAGTTTAAATCAGATACATATACACATGTATCTCTTTTATATGAACCAACTGAGTTTCTGAGTCACTGTGTAACATCAACAACTATTATAATGACCATTTGGTTCAATGAAAACAAGGGTGATTAGTCTGTCTGTCTGCCTGTCTATCCAAGAACAAGTCAGAAAGCGTTGGAGCCAATCTTCGCATATATTTATGGCCACTTACAGCAGATAATTCTCTTAACACACAAATGACCTCATTATAGTGATCAGTTGTCATGTTGTGTTCTGTTTGATATCAGCCCACATACATGTATACAATGCATTAATAATACATTGTTGGTTTACATGAACTTTGAACAAACACTGCATGAAAACTGTAGAGCTTTCAGAAGACATATAGGCATCAAAAAAGATAGATACTTTCATTTCTAATAAATCTGAGAAATATTGGTAATATTAGTAGTAGTATCAATTCCCTAAAAATACATGTACATGTAATAACAAGGTAATTTGGGTAATTGTATTGGAGATGTGCCTTTAATAAAACATATATGGCATATCCAATAGAAAGGGAATCATACATGCATTGGATTAAACTGAGTTAACTTTTTTTTTTTATCATGCTCCTCTTAGTCTCCAAACATTTCGATAGTAAATACTTCTTTCCACAAAATCTAGACAACAACCCATACAAGGTTTCCAAGTCCCCCATTGAGGTGAATAGTTTAGTCTACAAAATCTTGGCAAGAACCCATGCAGGGTTGCCCTAGTCCCCCTTGGAGGTGAATAGTTTATACCACAAAATCTTGGCAAGAACCCATACAAAGTTGCCCTAGTCCCCCTTGTAGATGAATAGTTTAGTCCACAAAAGAAATACAATCTGAAATACTTGGCAGGAACCACTCTCCTCATCTGCATGTGCTCCTCGTTAGCAGACTAATTAGATCATATAAAACAGAGAGAGCATTCTCAACTCTATAGGAAGTAATTAATTCTTAAGTCAGTCTGATTAGCCAAGCATAATGCATTAATTGAATTTTACAAAATTATTAAACAATGTTATTATTAGTAATTAGTCTTGACCACCCACAAACACATGCAATACTACACACATGTTATGAAACTTTTCACCACAAGATTTTCTCACCCAAATTCTTCTGCTTTTCTTGTATACTTCAAGATTTTTGAAAATGAATCTTAATTTTGAAGCCAACAGACAAAATTTGAGTCAATTTTAAATTTTTTAAAAATTAGACTATTTTTGTTCCAATCTTTTGAAGGAAAGTGTAAACTATAAACAAGACTATTTTGCAAATTTGTGATGAAAAGAGGGAATTTCAAATCAATCAATCAATCAAATATATATTTTACCTAATAATGTACAATGGTACCACAAAACAAAAGAATCAATTAGAAATAGGTAAATGGGAACCAAACATAGCTGTGGGCTAATCTAGTCTGATTCCATAATGGTTCAAATGAAAACAACTTGACCAATCAAAACACATTAACAGAAAGACCGGCTTCAGTAGCCAATTAGCAATATTTTAGCCATCGAATAGCAGATATTATCACATCTCACTGCTGTTACGCCTGCTATGATTGGTTGAAATTTGGTCACATGACATTGAATAAAAATGGATATTACATGGTACCAGTATATTGCCCGCCAAGTGGATATTACATGAGTATATGGATACCTTCACTGCCCATATCAAATTGTCGTCCACTGCACTGGTGCTGCCCGACTACTGTTGCCTTCAGGGTAGCTTCGAAGGTCTTAGCCATCAAATAGCAGATACTAGATATTAAATATAGTATGGAAACTTTTCTCGAATGTAAACTATTGGAATTGTCACAATAATGACATGAATGAAATTTAGATATTTTTTGAGGTGGAAAAGGCACTGTTGTGTTAACAAAGAGTCTTTCTTTTTTTTCAATTTACTTGCACAGTACAATATATGCTACTGTTTGCAGCACCCTAATTAGTGTAGTGTTACACTAGTCCAGGATCAATTTCAAATATAGCTGCAGAGCAGCTATTAACGGCTTTCAAGAAAAAAGAGCCATAACACCATTAAATTTGGAAAAAAAAGTTTGAAGATTTGATTTGTGCAATGTATATACTTGTAGGTTACACGACGTTCCGGCCCAATGCCTTCATTGCAGCGCTATTTCCATGTCTCTAACTTCAATAGTGCTAGAGACGTTATATGCATATTAATGAGCTCTATGACCATATATGGTCAACGGATGTGTTGGCCAATGCTCTTTTCTATTGCTTCAATA